CATGCGATTACAACATACTTTTGATTTTTGGGAATTTTTTAAACGAAGCTGGGCATTTTCTTCCATATAAAAAAAATTTTCGAACATACTTTGTAATGGAAGAAAATGCGTGACAGCGCCAGCAAAAAATTACAAAACATCAACATTAATTTTAGTCACTTGAAACTTGCATTTTATCCTGCTGTAATTTAATGAGATTTACATATAAAATTGCGTGCCTAGAATTTTTCTGAAAACTCGGAGTAAAAAGATTGAAACAGGTTGAAACAAAAAAAAGTCAAATTACACCAAGCAATCAATTTACTCACGACGCTATGCGCCAAATATAGTTAAACTGCGTTTTTAGTTTTAGAATTTTTTTTATTGGGACTTTATGATTTCAAACATATGATGAATTCTAAAAATTATTTAAAAAGGTCAGTGCAATGTAAAATAAATATGGGAACCAAATGATAGAAAAAATTCTGTAGGATTTAAAAAAATTTAAATTTTTTTTGGGACGAATAGGTGTAGAAAATGACTTTTTAATAAATTTAATTTTTTTTAAGCTAATAAAGTTAGAAGAACTATATTTTAGGACGTTGTCGAGTTTATATTAATCCTTAACATATAATTTTTTCAAAATAAATATTGCAAAATTTCAAGTATATTCAAGGATCAAATTTTTAAGGACATTTTCAATACCTTATGCACCAAAAAATTTAATCTGTTCTTTCTATACAGAATTTTCTCTTTAATTTGATACACATACTGTTTCCCTAAGCACATTGCACTAAATTTTTTAAACCGTTTTCCGAATTACTCTTATTATTCAATTTTCAAAATCCTTTTTAAAAATCCTGGCGTCAGAGAGAACAACTAAAAAACGCCATTTTACTGATGCCCCATGGCTTCGCGAATATATTGTTTTTTTTTTGTGTATGAAATTGCCTTTGGCACGGTGTTATGTGTATGTATAATTAGCTAGACATTTATAAAAAAAGGCTATTAAATATTAAATAAACAAAAGAAATATAGCAAACAAGTAAGAAAGTCTAAGTTCGGGCAGAGCCGAACATTAAATACCCGGCGCAAGTATTAAATATATGTTTTTTCACCTTTCCGAAACCTACCGCTACATGGTAAGCAGGGGTGTATCAATTTTGAGTAAATTAGCGTCCTTAAATTTCGAAATATTGAAGATTCAAGCATTCCTGAAATTCACCGTTATATGAAAAGCGGCCGTAATTTTAGTCCGATTTCAATAATTTTCAACGTTTTGCTTAGATGTGGCAAGCATAATAACCATACCGAGTTTGGTACAAATTGGTAGAACGGTTACTGATATACATATATGTGATCATAAGTGGGCGGTGCCACACCCATTTTCCAAAATTTTACCATAAACGTATTTCTTGGTAAAGAATTTTTGCAAGCGTCAATTTTGAATAAATTAGCTTCAATATTTACTGATTTATCGAAGATTTTGTATTTCTCTAAATTACCGTTATATGGGATGTGGGCGTGGTTATCGTCCGATTTTAAAAATTTTCGGCGATTTTGTATCCTATAGCAAGGCCAAAAACTGTGCCAAGTTTGGAAGAAATTGGTGCAGCGGTTACCAAGTTATACACATGTAACCATAAGTGGGCGTGGCTACGCCCATTTTCCAAAATTTATAATATTCTTGTTTTTCGTCTAAAAATCATTGTAAATATCAATCTTGAGTGAATTATCTTCAGTAGTTACTAAAATATCGCAGTTTTCGTATTTCCGAAAATTACCGTTATATGGGAAGTAGGCGTGGTTACCTCCCGATTTCGCCCATTTTTTCCCTTGGATTAAGGGAAACCTACATACCAAGTTTCGTTGAGATATCTCAATTTTTGCTCGAGTTATCGTTTACACGGACGGACGGACAGACGGACAGACGGACAGACGGGCAGACGGACAGACATGGCTTAATCGAATTCTTTTTTCATCCTGATCATTTATGTATACATTTGTCTATATCTATCTCGATTCGTTTTGGCTGTTACAAACAACCGTTATGTGAACAAAATTAATATACCCTTGTGCACAAGTGCGCTCGGGTATAAAAATGCTACAGCATAAGGCGTTTCTATTATTGCCACCATTACAAATTACAAATCCCGAAAATGCCGGAATTGTTGGCAAATAATCTCGTGATTTTTGGCACTTAAAAAAGACCATGATCCCGGGATCTTGGGATTAAAATCCCTAGACAATGTTGGGCAAAGACCGTGAAAAATGTATGAGCATGAAAGTGCACATTCCTTAAATATTAATTTGTTAATGCGTATGCATCTACGTACATATGTCTCCTAATATAAGCATATATACATCCACAAGTCTACATAGCCGTTCTTTGTCATTTTTCGCTTAAGACTCATAAACCCCTTGTTTATAAAGAATAAGCAAAAGTATGTAGGAAAAATAAACAAAAACTCGACTTTTATCAAAACAAATATTTAGTATTGAAACCAGCTAATTTTCTTTACATACATACGAATGCAAATCCATTTGTATACATAAATATATGAGTATATATTAGGCTGGGTCAGATAAACTTATTGTAATTTACCCCTCTCATACGAAAGCTTTTTTTCGAGAGGAGTTTTGGTTTCATGAGCTTATACGATACAGTTATACTATACAAAGTGAAAACCAGAGTTATTACACACCTTCTCTAGATATTTTTAATCCCCTTTAAGGGTCATGTTATGATGAATTATGTCATTCGACCAGTTGTTCTAATTATCTCAATGCTCATTTGACTAAATTCGCTTTAAATAAGATATTAAACTGCGGAGGGTAATGGCAAACATATCTCTTTCCTAAAGGAACCGACCAGGTCTAAGATATGTATGTACAAATTTGTACATATCTATGTATATCTTTTATCTCAAACATAAACAATGCTCAAGCAAATGTTCAGAAAATCTAAATATAAACAAATGACCATAGAGTTAATTAGTTTGGCAGCAGAGAGTGTAGATTCTTCGGTGATCAAATAAAAAGAAAAAAATTCTATATTGAATGCCAAATTCCACGGAAAATGTTTTGTCATATTTGTACATTTATATGTACAAGAAACATATAAATAGGCACGTAGACCAGCACTGAGACAGGGTACCGAAAATATTTTTTTTTTTCTCAGCCACCTCATACGCGGTATTGCACGCCAAGCAACGAAATAACATTTTCAATAAAATAATGACCATATATGGTAATCTAACCCTAAGAGTATCTTGCTCAACCTCTTTGCAATTTTTCATTTACAGTGGGCTAGAGTTTCTAATTTTGGGTCACAAATTAAATTATATCGAAAATAATTTTATATACAGTGTAATCCATTTATAATGGGTTTGCTTAAGATGGAAACTCTGTTATTCACGTACCTATTTTTCAAGCCCCAGTTCAAACATACACATGAAACAACTCGGACTCCGCCAATAATGGACAAAAATATCGGAAACAACATTTACTTATTTTTTTTTTGTTTTCAAAGACTTTCCATCAAATACAGGAATCACTTTTCACTTAAATTGGTTTAACCCTTGTAATCTGCTAATTATGTGTCTTTTGTGTCCTTATTTAAAAAAGCTTATTCAAAATAGGAGTTGTAGGGTTAAAATTTTCTGTATAGCTACGGTAAAATTCGGCAAGCAATTTTCTCGTAAAAAATTGTAACCCTAAAGTTACTCTCATTATGGGTCCTTTGTGCCGATTTTTAAAGACGATTATTAAAACTGATAGTTGGAGGGTTAAAATGTTCTGTACAAATTTTAACTATCAAAATTTATCAAGATTCACCCAGGATAGAAACTGTGATTAAATGGAATATTTTTCAAAAATACACAGTAAAAAAATTTACAACTTTTTGTAGAAAAAATGTAACTTCTTGATTAGCTCGTGCCGTTATGGGTTTTTTTGACCCTATTAAAAAAATTTATTGAAAATGGCGGTTAATTGGATAAGATGTTCAAAAAAAGTGTTTATAAGAGATCGCCGAGAGAAAGTAAAGTTCTGTATTTTTTGGTATTTGAATTTATGGCTTTAAAATGACCTATTTACTGAGAAGAAAATTCTCCAATTTGGCAAAATTGTTATTAAAATTTTAAAAGTTGTCGGTGTACCTTTGAAATTTTCCATGTAAACAACATGTAAAAAAATTTGTTTTCATTAAAAATGTTACAGCTATTGAACCGTTTGAGAGAATTGAATGCCCAACAAGAATATGGCCAGATAAAATGTTATCTTAAACAGTTCAGTAGTTATAAGATTTTTAATGAAAACAAATTTTTTTACATGTTGTTTACGTTAAAAATTTCAAACGTACACCGACACCTTTTAAAATTTGAGTAAACGACTGGCGTGCTTTGTTGAACTTGGCCAAAATCGCTTAAGCGGTTATAGTACAATAAAATTAATTAGTAACCAAATTTTTTTTTTGAGATCCTTCATAACACATTTTTAGCCTCTAACTGCCATTTTTGGTTACTTTTTCATCGAAAACGCATCAAAAAGTTCCAAAAATTGGAAAGTTTAAAAAAAGTGGAAGAGCTAAAAGATGCCACATTTTAAGCCTTTTATAATAGTTCTTCGTTATTTTGATTCGAAAGTGGGTCCAAAATATCCAATAACAGATGGAATTCAAACCCTGCCAATTTGAATTCAAAGCGAACTTGACTCAAATGCACTCGGAAGTGAATTGCAGGACCTACCCGAAAGGGTTAAAATTGTTTACAAAAAAGTTGATAATTTAATTCTAACATCCTAGCTTGCATTCAAACATATTTGTTATGACACTACCAAGCTGACGATTGTTAGATGATCTGATGATGTCTAGTAAAATCATTTGCTAAATATTCTCATTTTGGTTATTGGTGTTTCCGTCAGGGTAGGATTATGATATATAGTGGAACATATGTAGATTAATTTGTCTTATATTAAATTTTTTACTTTCGTTAATAACATACGATTAAATTTGTACTTACTTAAAGCCCAGCTTTATTTGATCGATCGTCTGCATGGCTGCCATGTTGATTTTTTTTCTTTGGAATTAATCTTTAATATTTTTTATTTAAATATTCCTTTTTACAAATAAACACGTAGCGTATGTACTTCTGAATGCTTTTCCAGGAATTATCGTTTTACCAAATCACAACAAAAATTTAATCCTTAATTGAGGTACATATGTATGTGTTAGGTATCTATCACGTGGAGCGGAATTATTTAGATATATCAGTCGATGTATACTGGAAAATTTAAGGCACGTGTAAGTTGCATACATACATGGAAGAAATATGATATATCTGCAAGCAACACATACAAATGTACATACACACATAAATCATATGCACATACTTAAGAGTGATGAGCAGCTTCTTCAGATTTATACAGACGCGTGCGAGCAATTTAATTTATTGATAATAACCTCGTTATACTTCAACACTTCTGCTAACTTTTATACTGAGAATACTTTTATGAGTATATTGCGCTCTTAGGAACTGCCGCAAAGGTTATTACTTATGTTCAATTAACAGCTTCTTGTGTTCTTCAATGAAATATCCTCATTAAATACTTGGCTCGTTTGAAATTGAATGTAAACCTTGGATTACTTCACGCCTACAATAATTTTCATAATATGCTAAAATTAACTTGTGAACCCGCATGGCGTTAAAACGGCAACATTGAATTTAAATTTGATGCAACCTTATTCAGAAAGTAAAAAAAAAAAATCCAAATGTTTCACCTAAGTCCTTTAAAAAATAAAATCTTATTACACATCTACCAGCACAGTGCCTTAATCTGATACATCAGTTTTGAAATTCTAGGTAGCGGTGCAGGTCTGCTGATCTTCAGAAAAATGGTGTACATAGATATTACTTTTCGAATAGATGGCAGCCCTTATCAAAATTTTTTCAAACTAAAGTTTTCTTAAAACTCTTACCGGTGGCACTCATACTTTAACATGTAAATTATATGCATAAGTTAAATAAATTCGATTTTTCGCACAGGTGGCAACCCTCATTGAAAGTATTTTCAAGTCAGTCTGGTATTGTGATACATATTGCAATTAACTGATGATTTAAATTGATTTTGATTTTTCAAACTCAACAGACAGTTCAGATATAAATCCTTTTCAAACCCACTTCGCTTGATACCCAACTTTTGATAGTTCATTTAGCTTATTAAACATTTGGAATCTATTTTTTTAACAGGTGGCAACCCTCTTAAAATACCACAAAAGATTCTGTATGTTGCAACTAAGGGTTCCTTGACACTCGTTTCTTTGACACAGGTATTTTAGTATTTCATATTACTTGTGTATAAGTTAACTAAATTCTACTGTTAAACAGGTGGCAATCCTCTGAAAAATATTTTCAATTACTAGCTCCTTAAGCATGTTTCATCTGGCATCCATTAGGTGATACGTATTACCTCAATTCAAATTGAAATTTATTTTTTAAACAGGTGGCAAGCCTCATACATTTAGTTTAGAAATAAAGCCTTTTCAATACCATTTCCATTGATACCCATATAGGAATAGTTGATTTATTATTTTAAATAACTTGAATTCAATTTTTTAAAGATGGCAACCCTTTTCGAAAAAGTAAAACCTTGTTGCATATCTGCAGGCATAGCGCTTTGATTTGATAACCCACTTGAAACTGGCCCTTAGTTTGATCAAAATTGTAGATGTGTGCTATTAAATTGCATACCAAAAATTTTATAAGAATTCACATTAAAAAGTTTAAAATTTTTATGACAATTTGTTGATAAATTTCGTATAAAGTTTGAAACTGCGATTTATATGGTTTGGTTAAAGCTTACACAAGATTTATATAGAAACAGGATTTCAAGCGATGCTTTTTTAAAAAGCTTTCTATTTGGAAGTTATATTTGGTGTTATTTTAAAGCACTGCGACTATTTCAATAGGTACATAAATATATATCCCTATAACCGGGTTGGTTGTAAAGTGTGATTGTAATACCCATAAAATAATTTACTGGTTTATATTAAAATTTAGTGCTATGATAGTTTCACTCGCTTTATATCTGCCAATCTGGAGAAAACCGACAACCCAAGTGCTTTAGTAGCCGTTTCATTGTCATGGGAAACGACCAGGAGTGAGGATAATGATTAGTCGATTCCTCATACCGAAAATTTTCGCAAATAGAATTTTTCCATGGCATACGGATTGGTTCAAAAATTCAAAATTCCTGTGTAAATCACAAATCGGTGGTTATAGGAATTTTTTTGGATCGCTGATCGGGAGTTCCGAACCGTGTGGATCGCTACATGTCCATATTCAAAATGGTTCTACAATTTTAATTCCCTTTATCTAGAGAGTGAAGGATATACCAATTTCTTTTCAGGAAATCAAAAGATCGCAAGATAGGCTCTCAAAACGAACTGATTGTTGCAGATTTTAAAGGTTATGTATAGTTTATATTATAAGAAACTTACTGATTACCTACTATCAATAATAAGAACGCACTCGAGACTTTTGGTAGCATTGCATTGTCTGCTAACAGCGCATGCTTTTAAATTAGGTCTTATAAAGGACAAAAAATGTACGATTTATTACTATTCCGAGTAAACTGTGGATAATTGATTGCGATTTGCGATTGAGCAGCCTTCAGCAGGCAAAGTCTGGCGTTACTCGGCAAGGTAGAACTGCGTACAGTCTATAATCGACAAAGGACCAAATTGTTTACGAAAATTCATTAAAGGAACGGAAATGTTTTTGCCTTCAGGTAAATTTGGAGTTAGGAATAAAAAAAAAATTTCAACAATTAGAAGAAGCATTTTCCAAATGAAAAAAGTTTAAATAATAAAAAAAATAACTTTCTTTGAGTTTTTCCCAACATATGTATGTATATGTATGTATGTATGCACATATGAATGTTGTCTGCTTTTATGTACATACATCTGTGTGTGCACATGTACACATAGTATAAGTATGTATGTATGTATGTACCTCGATATTGAGCTTATGCTACAACGAAAGCTTTCGACCGCATATCCTTGCAAGGACAAAAAAGCTCAAACGCGTTTATCAATTTTATCACAAACAGTATGCTATCAAAATAACCATATTGTTCAATAAATATCTATTAGTTTTTCTCTCTTTTGGAAAATTTTTAAATACGTATGTATATGTATGTATTTTATTCATTAGCACCACTTTAAACTTTCACAAAAATATATTTCTGCACCTTCCAATGATGCTCTTCTTTGCATTTTTTTTTTCAAATATTTTTACTAATTTAGCACATCCTTTTCTTTGCAATTTAGCTCAATTTATTCCTATTAAACNGAGAGTGAAGGATATACCAATTTCTTTTCAGGAAATCAAAAGATCGCAAGATAGGCTCTCAAAACGAACTGATTGTTGCAGATTTTAAAGGTTATGTATAGTTTATATTATAAGAAACTTACTGATTACCTACTATCAATAATAAGAACGCACTCGAGACTTTTGGTAGCATTGCATTGTCTGCTAACAGCGCATGCTTTTAAATTAGGTCTTATAAAGGACAAAAAATGTACGATTTATTACTATTCCGAGTAAACTGTGGATAATTGATTGCGATTTGCGATTGAGCAGCCTTCAGCAGGCAAAGTCTGGCGTTACTCGGCAAGGTAGAACTGCGTACAGTCTATAATCGACAAAGGACCAAATTGTTTACGAAAATTCATTAAAGGAACGGAAATGTTTTTGCCTTCAGGTAAATTTGGAGTTAGGAATAAAAAAAAAATTTCAACAATTAGAAGAAGCATTTTCCAAATGAAAAAAGTTTAAATAATAAAAAAAATAACTTTCTTTGAGTTTTTCCCAACATATGTATGTATATGTATGTATGTATGCACATATGAATGTTGTCTGCTTTTATGTACATACATCTGTGTGTGCACATGTACACATAGTATAAGTATGTATGTATGTATGTACCTCGATATTGAGCTTATGCTACAACGAAAGCTTTCGACCGCATATCCTTGCAAGGACAAAAAAGCTCAAACGCGTTTATCAATTTTATCACAAACAGTATGCTATCAAAATAACCATATTGTTCAATAAATATCTATTAGTTTTTCTCTCTTTTGGAAAATTTTTAAATAAGTATGTATATGTATGTATTTTATTCATTAGCACCACTTTAAACTTTCACAAAAATATATTTCTGCACCTTCCAATGATGCTCTTCTTTGCATTTTTTTTTTCAAATATTTTTACTAATTTAGCACATCCTTTTCTTTGCAATTTAGCTCAATTTATTCCTATTAAACTTTTCAATTCAATTTGGGTTTTAAAAAAATTCCAGTTATAATCAGTAGTTTTGAGCTTTTTCCACGTACAATAGCTGACTTTATTTTTATTATATTTTTTTTTCTTTTCTAATACAGATCTGAATTATTAGAAGTAGCTAAACAGATGGTTGATTAGTTGATTGGTCTGTTGGTTGAAGCAACCGACACCGACACCGACACCCACACCGTCACCGCCACCTTTCGAGAACTTAAGGTGAATTGTATGTAGCACAGAAAAGCAACCGCCTAACGCGATGGCAACTCGTCAACTGGCTGTGCTAACGATGCTAAAGCTGCCTCGCCGCCATAGTATGGTATGCTTGTATATATTAACATACATATGTATGTATGTATGTGTATATAAACATTCGTGTGTGTGTGTGTGTGTTTTTCTATGTTTTTATCTCTCAAAAAGTTCTGATTACTTAATGCTTTTTGCTTGCCGCACGCATTTACTGGTAATAATTTTATGTATTGGTGATATGTATGTTTTTTTATTATTTACATGTTTTCTTTTGTATGTATGTAGATGCGAATGTATTCTAATGATTTATGCTGCGGTATGAAAAATCAGCTGTTGCTAATGCTACGAATAATACGGTGTAACTTAGAGAACAAACAGTACACATTAATANGAGAACTTAAGGTGAATTGTATGTAGCACAGAAAAGCAACCGCCTAACGCAATGGCAACTCGTCAACTGGCTGTGCTTACGATACTAAAGCTGCCTCGCCGCCATAGTATGGTATGCTTG